GCGGCAGAGCCGTTCTGCAGCGGGTAGAGCACGAAGGGCGCGTTGTCGTTGGCGTCCAGCACCAGCACGCGCACCAGCGCCTGGCTGCTGAGCGCGGGCGAGCCGCGGTCTGCCGCGCGCACGCCGAACTCGAAGGCGCGCAGGGCCTCGTAGTCCAGCGACCTGAGCGCGAACAGCTGGCCGTTGTCGGCGTTGATGGACACCAGCGAGGCCAGGGCCAGCTGCGGGTCGTGGGGCGGCAGCAGCGAGTAGGTGACCTGGGCGTTGGTGCCCGCGTCTGCGTCTGTGGCGCTGATGGTTCCGATGTGCAGGGCGGGGCTGTTGTTCTCGCGGACCAGCAGGGTGTAGGAGGCCTGGGTGAAGGCGGGGGCGTTGTCGTTGACGTCGGAGACCAGCAAGGTTATGTTGTGTTCGGTTTTAAGCCTGGGTGTCCCCAGGTCAGTGACAGTGATGGTGACGTTGTACACATCCTGACTCTCTCTGTCCAGTGCCCCTTCTGTTGTTAAGATGTAAAAGTTGTCCACAGAGGGTTTCAGAAGAAAAGGCAGATTATCTTGGATGTAGCAAAGCATCTTTCCATTGTCTCCAGAGTCTGGGTCTTTAATCCTAAAAACTGCCAGGACAGTCTCAGGAGAGTTCTCAGCAATGTATTTGGAAAGTGATGACATGATCAGTTCAGGAGGATTGTCATTGGTGTCCAGAACTTCCACCAAAACTGTACACTTTGAAGAAAGACCTCCACCATCAATGGCCTGTATATTTATTTTGTAAGACTTTATTAATTCATAATCAAGCAATGCTCTGAGAATGATTTCCCCAGAAAATGGACTGATTTCAAAGGTTGTTTGAATATCTTCTGAAGCATCAAAAAATGAATAGGATACTTCTGCATTGACTCCAGAATCTACATCTCCTGCAGAGACTTGAACAATGAGGGATCCTTCTGGGCTGTCTTCTGGAACCTGGGTCTCATAGAGCACCCGGGCAAACTGCGGGGCATTGTCATTGATGTCCAGGACCACAATACGCAAAGTGGTGGTCCCAGACCTGGGTGGAGACCCACCATCCAGCGCTGTGAGTGTTAAAATGAGCTCCCGCTGCTGCTCCCAATCCAGTGCTTTGTCCAGCACTAGCTCTGGATATATGATCCCTTCATCACTGGGACTAATTTTAATATGGAAAAAAGAGTTGGGGTCGATGGTGTAGTTTTGGACACTATTCCGTCCTCCATCTGAATCTTGTGCTCTTTCTAGTCGAAATGCTGTTCCTTCCATTGTATTTTCTACTATTTTTAAGATCATCTCTTTGTTCCGAAACACTGGTGAGTGATCATTTATATCCCTCACTCTCAACTCAGCCCGGTAGATCTGAAAAGGGTTATCCATCAAAATTTGGAAATATAACATACAGGGCTCTGTGGGGCCGCACAGCTTTTCCCGGTCCAGCTTCTCATTTGTGAGCAAATTCCCAGTATGGGAATCCAGGAGCAAGTGTTGTTTGCTATCCTCAAAAATCACCCGGGCTCCCCTCGCAGCCAGCTCCTCCTGCCCTAGTCCCAGATCCTTTGCCAGATTGACCACAAAGGAGCCCCTTTCTGTTTCCTCTGTTACCCAATAATGTCCAAACCCAGAATCTGCCAAGGACACTCCCCAGAACAGAAAGAGAAAGAGGACTTGCCTTGGTCTCAAGAAGCGCAACCCTCTGGCCTCCATAGCTTCTCCTTCAGCCAGTGTCAGTCAGGAACACTGCACCCAGCGTAAACGCAAGTCAGACCTTGGAACTAAGCTGTGTAGGAGCAGGGAGCTAGATTGTTTTCCCTTATCCAAGGATTTGGATATTTGAACCGCTACAGCTTTTCTTCACAGACCATCTGTCCCCACCTTCCTCTTTTGTATTAATGATTTCGGGAATGATCAGTGTTCATTTTGTTCCCAGCTCTTTAGCCTGCAGCGCCACCGTGTGGCGGACTCAAATGATAGTACCTAATTCTGGTGTGTCTGTATATATAGTCATAAAACTTTTCTTTGGGTAGCTTACTTGTATTTTTAATTTTCCTTTCATTTTGTTTTTGGTTTTAAACATAATTTTGAGCTAGATAAACATTGATATGTTTGGGATCCTCACTGCTTCCTGAGAAGAGTTAAAAATTAAGCAATTGATAAAAAAAATTTCTATCAGTAACTCTTTCACTTCACTGCATACAGGGCTCTGTGGGGCCGCACAGCTTTTCCCGGTCCAGCTTCTCATTTGTGAGCAAATTCCCAGTATGGGAATCCAGGAGCAAGTGTTGTTTGCTATCCTCAAAAATCACCCGGGCTCCCCTCGCAGCCAGCTCCTCCTGCCCTAGTCCCAGATCCTTTGCCAGATTGACCACAAAGGAGCCCCTTTCTGTTTCCTCTGTTACCCAATAATGTCCAAACCCAGAATCTGCCAAGGACACTCCCCAGAACAGAAAGAGAAAGAGGACTTGCCTTGGTCTCAAGAAGCGCAACCCTCTGGCCTCCATAGCTTCTCCTTCAGCCAGTGTCAGTCAGGAACACTGCACCCAGCGTAAACGCAAGTCAGACCTTGGAACTAAGCTGTGTAGGAGCAGGGAGCTAGATTGTTTTCCCTTATCCAAGGATTTGGATATTTGAACCGCTACAGCTTTTCTTCACAGACCATCTGTCCCCACCTTCCTCTTTTGTATTAATGATTTCGGGAATGATCAGTGTTCATTTTGTTCCCAGCTCTTTAGCCTGCAGCGCCACCGTGTGGCGGACTCAAATGATAGTACCTAATTCTGGTGTGTCTGTATATATAGTCATAAAACTTTTCTTTGGGTAGCTTACTTGTATTTTTAATTTTCCTTTCATTTTGTTTTTGGTTTTAAACATAATTTTGAGCTAGATAAACATTGATACGTTTGGGATCCTCACTGCTTCCTGAGAAGAGTTAAAAATTAAGCAATTGATAAAAAAATTTCTATCAGTAACTCTTTCACTTCACTGTGGCAGATGCAGCTCTGCTGTAGGTCTTTCACCTCCGACAGAACTCCTTTGCTATATTAGGAGCCAAAGGAAAAACTGGGGTTGTCCTCTAGGACTATCAGAATAATCGATTTTTCCTTTTCCTTAAACGTGAGACATAAGAGCACCAAGGAAGGACCAAAACAAACAAAACTTGTTTCTTGCACTTCTTTAAAACCTCATAACATTTCCTAAACAGAATCAGCACTCTGCAATCCAGAACCAAGCATTGAGGCTGTCCCATCTCTGTGCTTCCACAAAGACTTAGTGCACACAACTGTGATTGCCCTGAAAATATGATTGCTTCTGGTTTTATGCCAGTCTGTCCTTTTTTCAAGAGGTGAGCTACTTGAGGACAGGGATTATGTACTAGACACCTTGGGAAACCAGCTACTTGTTAAATACTTGCACAAACTCTAGTGAGTAGGACAGGAAAATTTTAGTGCCTGTCAGTATTATTTAATTATTTCTTCATGAAGCTATAAAATAAGTTTTATCTTTTATCTCCAGACTTAAAACAGTCATGCACACTCAATGTCTTACAATGGCTTTTCTTATTTACAAATAAAACTGATTAAAAGTTGATTTATGATATCAGAAATATTAAATGTGGTTATGGAGTTAGGAATACAGAGAAGATAATTTTTTTTTTAAGTAACATAGTTTAAGAAGAGTGTTATAATTAGGGCCAGCAGGAGACATGGTGGTTAAAGGTGCTGGATTCTCACATGGCTGACCACAGTTCCAGTCCTGGACCTGGCAGCTTGCTTTCTCGCTTTCCCTTCTCTCTCTATTTATGTCTGGTTAAATTTAAAATAATAATAACTAATGGAATTAAATAAACAAATATATTTTTTTAAAAAGTGTTGGGTCTAGCAGGCAGCATGGTGGCTAAGGTGCTGGACACTCCCACATGGCCAACCATGGTTCAAGTCCTAGGCCTGGTGGCTTACTTTCTCACTGTCCCTCTCTCTCTGTGTGTGTCTCTCTCTGGTCAAATTAAATGAATGCATAAATAAAATAATTCTTAAAAAAAGAAAAGTGTTAAAATTGTGGATTAAAAACAGGAATACACGTTTGGAACAAAAATGAAAGGAAAAGTAAATATACATATCACAGAGCATATTATTTTAATAATTGAAGAAAACTAAAATGAATAGTAGTCAAAATAAATACAAAACCTGACCTGGACCTATGGCCTGGTGGTAAGGCAGGCAGATCCCACATAGCCAAGCATGAAGTTTGAATCCACCTGGTGGCTTTAGGGACAAAGTCCTAACAGGGCGGAGAAATGGAGGAGGGATTGCAGGGTGACTGTGCCCTGACAGGAAGCACTTTCTCCCTCTTCCTCTCTCTGTTTCCTCTCTCTCTTCCACAAGTGCACAGATTTGCAGGCAAATTTTAAAATATACATACATATATAAAGTCAATAAAGACAATTATGAAGTTGAAAAATTTTCAAATGACATCAATTTGAAGATAAAGCCTATTAAATGGAATTCTCTAAGCGACAGTTTATGGGGGTAAATACAAAAAGAAAAAGCATAAAATTGAAAATTGATGATCATTCAGAGAAATTTAAATAGCACCTTACTGGTGGTAGTGGGCACACTCTAGTTCATCAACAAGACAATATTAAGAAGTGAAAATCTTTACTAAATAGATTCCAGTCAATAATTAAATCAGGGGGACCAGCAGTTAGCGTAATGGCTATGTCTCTGCACTCCCATGTAGTCAACTGCTGTTCGAATCCCTGATCATGAGTGCCCAAGATCCTGAGAGGAGAATGGAGGAGAAGGGATTGAGGCATGGCCGTCCCCACTAGGGGGCGGTTTCCCGCTTTCTGTCTTGTCTTTCTGGTGAGCACACATGCCCTATAGTGAAAACCTCTCCAAAAAGAGGGAAAAAAAAATTAAATCAAAAAATAATAATTAAATCCAAAGGTTTTGTGAAAGGTACGATTTTCCTGTTTCTTTCCCAGGACACTGGGACTGAATATTAGGGATAATCGACTGCAAGAACTTGAACCCATTTGTTCCAGAATCTCCTGTCAGACAAATTTTATTGAATGTTGAGTCCCAAGCTATTGCGAAAGTTCTCCTTTTCCTCCACATTCCTACCGGTGTCGTGGCCTTGAAAATTGGGGATAATCGGCTTCAAGAACTTGAAACGGGCGAGCCGCGGTCTGCCGCGCGCACGCCGAACTCGAAGGCGCGCAGGGCCTCGTAGTCCAGCGACCTGAGCGCGAACAGCTGGCCGTTGTCGGCGTTGATGGACACCAGCGAGGCCAGGGCCAGCTGCGGGTCGTGGGGCGGCAGCAGCGAGTAGGTGACCTGGGCGTTGGTGCCCGCGTCTGCGTCTGTGGCGCTGATGGTTCCGATGTGCAGGGCGGGGCTGTTGTTCTCGCGGACCAGCAGGGTGTAGGAGGCCTGGGTGAAGGCGGGGGCGTTGTCGTTGACGTCGGAGACCAGCACTGTTATGCTGTGCTCTGTGGTCAGCCTGGGTGTGCCCAGGTCTGTGACGGTGATGGTGATGTTGTACTCGGCTTGGCTCTCTCTGTCTAGTGCTCTCTTTGTTTCCAAGGTGTAGAAGTTCTTGACTGAAGGATTTAGAATAAAGGGAAGGTCTTCCTGGATGGAAGATACTGTCTTCCCGTTGTTCCCAGAGTCAGGATCAGAAACACTGAATACAGCAACTACAGTCTCAGGTGCGTTCTCTGGGATAGGACTGGTGAGCGCAGACATGGTCACTACAGGGCGGTTGTCATTCACATCCACCACTTGCAGAAGTAGAGTGCATTTTCCTGAGTGTCCACCCCCATCTTTGGCCTTGATGTCCACCTCATAAGACTGGACTGTTTCAAAATCTAGTTGTGTTCTCAACTGAATATCTCCTGTAATAGGATTTATCTCTAAAGTTTTGCTAGTATCTTCTGAAGGCTGAAAGAGTGAGTATGATACTTTTCCGTTGGCTCCACTGTCTAAGTCGCTGGCTGAGACTGTGACAACCAAGGAGCCTACTGGGCTGTTCTCTGGCATCTGCACCTTGTAGAGCGAGTGTGGAAACTCAGGCGCATTGTCGTTGACGTCCACCACTTCTATGAAGACCTGGGTGGTCCCAGTCCGAGGTGGAGAGCCGCCATCCAGGGCCGTCAGGGTTAATTTTAATTCAGGCTCCTCCTCTCGGTCCAGCTCTTTATCTAACACCAACTCAGGGTACTTCCTCCCATCGCTCCGTTCTCGGGTTAGAACGCGGAAATAGGGGTTGGGGCTGATTTTATAGTTCTGAACATTATTGCATCCTACATCCAAGTCCAGAGCATTATTCAGGGGGAACACATTTCCTAGAGGACTATTTTCCAGTATTTGTAGACTCATTTCTCTTTCGGTGAACACAGGAGAATGGTCGTTTATGTCTTCCACTCTCAGTTCAGCCTGAAATATCTCCAAGGGTTTCTCCAGTAGCACTTGGAAATGTAGTGTGCAGGGCTCAGAGGAGCCGCACAGCTCCTCTCGATCTAGTTTCTCATTTACAAGCAAATCCCCGGTTTGAGCCTTTAGCTGCAAATGCTCTTTGTTCCCGTGGGAAATGATCCTGGCCCCACGTGTTGTGAGCTCTGTCACCCCTACCCCCAGGTCTTCACCTAGATTTGCTACAAAGGAGCCTCTCTCCATTTCTTCCACTACCGAATAGGGCCCCAACTCGGCGCCTGCCCCAGACATGCTCAATAAAACAAAGAAAAGGAGGACTTGCCTTTGTTTGCAATTATGCATTGGTCCAATCTCCATTGCTCTTTCCTGAAAGTTTGGTCCAAAAGAACTTCGGGTATGCCCAGGATGCTGGTAGCCAGGTCCTAGGGTCCTGAATGTCAGAACTGTGCCGCTAAATAGAGTTTTAAGGCGGTTTCACACAATTACTGGTGGAGAAAGCAATTCTTTTGCTTCCAGGTGGCGTGAAGTGTTTGGCTGGATGCTGAGGCTGCATAGGCAGTTCCAACATTTTCCATCTTCTTAACCTGCAGCGCCACCATGTGTTCTGTTTTGTATTTTCTGGCTTAACATTGGAGGCAAAATAACTTTTAAACATAGTATTTACACCATGTTCTATTTTCATACGGTTTTTGTGTATACAGCTAGAGCTCTGTGTCATTGCACAGGGAGTAGTACAGAGCAACTGTCTCTTAGGTTATTAGTTGTCAAATTGTGTTCAGGTGGTAACAGTTAAATAAAATAATTTAACATTTACATTGAGGAATATGTACTTGGGAACAAAGTGTTTCTGAAGTACCAGGGAACAGTTTCCCAAGTACGTACCTTTCATGGTGTGTATTATTTCTGAAGTACCAGGGAACAGTTTCCCAAGTATATACCTTACATGGTATGTATTACAGAATGAAAAATGAGTGGACATTGTACAATTACAAGTAGCAATTCTAAAGAGTATATCTATATAAATGCTTTATTGAAGAGTAGTTACATCCTCTTCTTTCCAACACCGATACCTGAGAACTGTAAATTTTGATAACTTTCAAATTATTAGAAAATTATTTCTTGGGGCCATCAGGTGGCATGGTGGTTAAGGTGCTGGACTCCCACATGGTTGAACACGGTTCATGTCCTAGACCTGGTGGCTGCTTTCTCACTTTCTCTCTCTCTGTGCCTCTCTTGTCAAATTTAAAAAAATAATGATAATAAATAAAAGTAAATAAATAATTCTTTTTTAAAAGGAAAAATAAAGTTATTTCTCAAATAGGCAGGTATCACGGGTTAGCCTGGCACACTTTTGGATTCTCTTTTTTCTTTTTTTAAAAAATCATGACAAGAAAAATTTTTGTTTTGTTCTTTAAAAAAAACTTTAATTAGATATAATCACATACCATACATTTTGCTCATTTCAAGTGTACAGTTCAGTAACTTTTACTATATTGAGAACTGTGCATTCCTCGTCACAATTTTGGGACATATTTATGACCTCACAGGAAACCTTTTCTACCATTACCACCCTTACCGTCCTAAGTTACTGCTTATCTACTTCTGTCCCTAGAGAGTTCTCTGTCTTGGGCTTTCCTAAGGGTGAAGTAATACAATACCTGGAGGTGTGTGGTGGCTTCTTTCACTTAGCAAGTCAAAGTATTATTTCAAGGCTTAGGTATCAATACTTCATTCCAGTTTAAGGCTGAATAAATATACCATTACGCAGCTACATCATACTTAGATGATCTATTCGTCGATTGTTGGATATTTGGTTTAACTTAGGCTATTATGAATAATGCTGCTATAAACATCCCTATTAAAGTGTTCATGGAGACCTATGGCTTTACTTCTCTAGGGGCAAAATTGCTGGAGCAGATGGTATTTCTATGTTTAACTGTCTGAAGAACTTCCAGACTGTTGGACAAAGTGGCTGCACCATTTTATTTTCTCACCAGCAAGGTATTAGGGTTCCAACTTTCCCACATTTTCCCAACATTTGTTATCTGACTTTTTGGTCCTAATCATCTGATTAGGATGATTAGTGATATCTTGGATTATTAGTGAGTAAGTGATATTAGTGATGAAGTGATATTAATAATAGTGATTCAGTGATATCTTGGAATTTGATTTGGATTTCCCGAATGACTAATAACATGGAACATTTTTTCATGTGCTTATCAGTCATCCTTGTATATCTTCCTTGGAGAATTGTCTATTCTTCATTTTTAAATTGGGTTGTCTTTTTATAATTAGATTGTAAGGATTCTTCATCTATTCCAGAATAAGTTTGTCAGATTTAGATTTTTTAAAAGCATACTTCCCACTCATAATTTGAATAAAATTGCAATAAAGGTTCAGGATGTCCTTATCAGTTCAATGTTTTTGTTAAAGGTTTTAGAAGTTTGGTATTTATCCTGTCTTAGGTTAAAGTAGCTAATCAATCAGGCCTAAATCCCTGGTATAAAGACTTTCACGTGCCCTCCTTTGGCCATAGATGGTACTGCTAGACTGGATCATTTCTCCCACCCTGTGGTAGAGAGAACAGTGGCCACTCAAAGATGTCTACGGTCTAATTACAACAATCTACAAATATATTACTTTACATGCAGAAGATACTGTGAAGATGTAATTGAATTAATGGCTTTGTGAAGAGAGGATTATTCTATATTATCTGGATGGGACAAACCCTTTCCTGGCTATGGTCAGAGGGAGAGGTGACCTACGTGATCAGAGAGAGGCGATGTTGCTGGTTTTGAAGGTGGACATTGGGAGCCAAGGCCGTGAAATGGGAGCAGTGTCTAGAAGCTTGGGGGACAAAAACCCAAACCAAAACAAACAAACAAAAACCCAAAGAAACAGATTCTTCTCTAGAGTCCTCAGAATGGAATGTATTCCTTGCTGACACCTTGACTTAGCTCAGACCTATATTGGACTTCTGATCTTCAGAACTGTACCATAATACATTTTTCTTATTTTGTTTTGTTTTAAATTTTCATTTATTCATTTGTTCTGAGAGAAAGAGCTGTATCTCCAACAGTGTCATTGTGCTGAAATCCACTCCCAGTCTCAGCCAACCAAGACACTGGCCACTCACCATACCCAGCATGACAAGGATCCCAGGAGAGGAACCTAGGGCCTTCCCCTGTGAGGCCAGCTGTGCAGAGCATTGCATTACCACTGCACCACCCGTTGGCCCCAATTTCATTGTTTTAAGCAATTTGTGGCAACTTTTTACAGCAACAATAGCAAAGTAATATACAGGGGTTGGCAGATAGCATAGTGGTTAAGGTGCTGGACTCTCACATGGTCGACTGTGGGCCAATGGCGACTTGCTTTCTCACTTTCCCTTTCTTTCTCTGATCAAATTTAAAAGTAATAACAACAAAGAAAATTAAAACAAAAAGAAAAAAGAAAACTAATATACAAGCATGAATTCTCATGTACTCAGCAGCTAAGTCAATGAAAATTTATTATTTCTACAAATCCAGTATTGTTGGGACCAGCAGAGGATATAATGGGTAAATCTCTGGACTCTAATGTAGTCGACCACAGTTCAAGTCCTGGACCCAGTGGCTTGAAACTGAACGCTAGGCATTTGTGAAAGTGTTCCCCAAATCCTTAGAGGAGAATAGAGGAGAAGGGACTGTGTTGTGGCCATCCTCCCTGGGGAGTGATTTCTTGCTTTCTGCTTCTCTGGTGAGCACAAGCACCCTATAGCAAAAATCTCTCTCTAAAAAAAAAGTATTACCAAAGCAAATGCACAAAAGAATGAAGAATGTCTGATTTGGCTATGGTGAGTCTTTGAAAATAAAGTCATTTATGATCTTTTTTTTTTTAAAGAAGTATAAGAGATTCAAGAAATGCAGCCACAGTGTAACTCTAGTCCCTCTCCACGGCACTCATTCTTGCAGTAATGAACATGACATATTGAGTAGGTACATGAATATAGTAAAACTGGTTTTTCTTTTTTTTTTTGGAGAGGTTTTTCGCTATAGGGCGCGTGCGCTCACCAGACAGAGAGAGAGAGAGACATAGAGACAGAAAGCGAGAAATCACCCCGCAGGGGGGATGGTCACACCACAATCCCTTCTCCTCCATTCTCCTCTCGGGATCTTGGGCACGCACGCACACACGCCTGGCGTGAGTTTTAAGCCACGGGGTCCAGGACGCGAACCGTCGTTGACTACATGGGAGTCCAGTGACATAGCCATTACGCTAACTGCTGGTTCCCTAAAACTGGTTTTTCTTATCATGGAGGTCATTTGCAGAGTTTGGTACTGCTTACTTAGGTCAGTGCTTCTGCAAGAACTATATGTTTATTGGTCTAGAGAAGTGTGGTCACTAATGCAGAAATAATTACAAACTATATACAAACTATATGCAAAAGGTACATTTCTACATAAGAGTTCAGTTAATAAATTAGGAAGAAAAATAGGTCGGTTCCACTTTTTTAAGAAAACAATGCTACCTACCTACAGCAGCTAATACCTGCCAATATAACATATTGGTTAAGAGCTTGGACATTGGATTCAGTTAGACTTCATTTCAAAATTGAGAATTATGAGCAAGTTACTTAATCTTTCAAAGCCCATTTTCCCTTACATGTAAAGGGTGATCATAATTGTCACATGTAGTCCATATGTCTCAAAGGGGAAAAGCTGACTTTACTATTTTGCACTTCATCTTACTAGATAAATATGGCACTGCTCGGGCCCAGCAGGTGTCTTGGTGGTTGAGGTGCTGGAATTCCCACATAGCCCACTGCAGTTTGATTCGGTGACCTGGCAGCTTGCTTTCTAGCTCTCCCTCTCTCTCTGTCTCTGGCAAAACTCATGTGAAAAAAAATATATTAATTCTTTCGGGGGGGGGATATGGCACTGCTTTCCTCTCTCGTCTCTGGCAAAACTCATGTGAAAAAAAAATATATTAATTATTTCGGGGGGAGGGGGATATGGCACTGCTTTCCTCTCTTTTAACAGCAAGGAAATTAAGTGGAAAGCAATTTAAAACAATTAGGGATGGCCTGTAGCCTAGGAGTTAAGGGAAATGGATCCTTGCAAGGCCAACCAAGGCCTGAATCCCAGCCTCAATGACTTGAAAAACACACTAAAGCGTGTGTATCCTGACAGGATAGAGACATGGTGAAGAAATTGAACTGACTGCATACCACTGGGGTGCGTGCACACATTCTCTCTCTCTCTCTCTCTCTCTCTCTGGCAAGTGCACGTACCCTCTGTCAATTACAAAAATAATTATATCAAAACTAATGCTAGCGTCAGCAGGTGGTATAGAGGTTAAGTTTCTGGGTCACACATGGCTGAATGCAGTTTGAGTACTGGACCTAGACCAGCAGCCTGTAAATCACTACAGGCACATGTGTGCATGGGCCCCAAATCCCAAAAATGGAGGAGAAGGGATTGCAGCTAGGCCATCCCCCATGGGGGGAGATTTCTCTGTCTCTGACAAGTGCACATGCCCTATAGCAAAACAACAAAACTAACTCTGATGTACTAAGGAAAGAAGGCACAGTTATATCATATTCTAAGAGAACAGTGTCAGAGAAAATTAGTGCTATGTGGACAGAATAAACCAGGAGACAGACATTTTCACTGAACTAATTATTTGTCCTTCCTGATTAAAAAGCAGTGTATTGGGACATTACTGCACTGTTGTAACTAATGGTTTAGCAACTAATAAGAAAATTTACAAGGAACTACAATTGATTATAAGGAATTAATTTCCCATGATTTTTCCACTTATACATTCCAAAGCTATTCTAGAAAATAAACTTACATAATAATTGACCTCATCAGCATTTTTTAGAAGAATTACTTATTTTGTTATTATTATTTATTTTTAAATTTGATGAGAGAGACAGAAAGTAAATATGAGAAAGCAAGCTGCCAGATCCGAGACTGGAACTGCAGCCAACTCTGTAGTAGTCTAGCAACTTAGCCACCATGCCACCTGCCAGCCCCCTCATCAGTATTTTGAGAAGGAAGATTTAAGATAATTCATCTTGGTATAGTGGTAAAGAAAAAATGAGATACCATTTTAATTTTACTTTTTGCAAGAAGGAGCTTGAGCTCACTAGAGACAGAGTTGAGAAAGCACACCCCATGGGGAAATGATCATCCCCAACTGGAAACCTGTCTCCTCCATCTCTCCCTCTCTTCAGGATTTTGGGCACGTATGAATACACACAATGTATTTCTCAACAGCAGAGTTCAAGATCAACAGCTGTGTAGGCAATGAGGGATACGTACTCTCAACCACAAGGCCAAGAAGTTGGCCTAGGATCTTATTTTTTAAAAAAGAAACAACTACGTTAGAAATCCTGCAGGCAAGTTTAGTGTAATTTAAAAATTCACAACAGGATAACAGCAAAACCATTGCTTTGAATTTATCACAAAAAGTAAATGTGGCATAAGAAAAAACGAGTATCTTAATTGCTTAAACCGAAGTCATTTCTACAGATTGAGTTTTCTTCCATTTCTGACCCAAGATAATGACCCTGGAAATCAGGTAAGACTGGCTTCAGAAACTTGAAATCACTGGTCCCAGTCCCTCCCCTCAGACACACCTCATACTGGTAGCTGTGGGACAGGGTCCCAGTACCGCTGACGTCCAGCAGGTGGCCCGGGAAGGGGCCCTCGGGCACCGAGCAGCCCCCCAGCGAGGCCGCCCTGGCCCTCCTGCACAGCCGCGCCGCCACGCACAGCAGCACACACAGCAGGAAGAGCGACGACACCGCCGCCAGCGCGATGACCAGGTAGACGGTGAGCGAGTCGGCCTGCGCCTGCGCCGGGGCGGCCTCGGGCAGCGCCCAGGAGTGCTGGGAACAGGCG